TACCATTAGTGAAGTAATAATTAATTCATCATTTATGTGTAACAAAATAATTGAACCTTGATAAAAAAATTCGAACTTTTCATTTTACAAGAAAACATTGTCTGATGAATGACTGGAAAACGATATAGTCTTTGGAAAAACATCTTATGTTAATATCATTTGATGATTATACATATGAATGAAATGACAAATGATACAATGTCTTGAACACGCAACACCGTCTAATGTTTATCGACATTCAAAACATTTAATGCATGTATTATAAAGAATCTTGATACTTGTATACTTTGTTTCTTGATATTCGTGTTGACCAATAAAGCAGAAAGATATGATTAGAATCATGACATCCAAGACATTGTGAGAGAAGAAAAACATTATGGGAATGTTTCCGTTGAAGCCCTCAGCTCAATTAGCTCAGTTTCGCTTAAAGCTATGAGAAAAAACTCTCAATCCTACAAAGGAGACTAAAGTTTGACTTCACATCTAAAGGCTACCTGCTCTCCTGAAGACAACCTACTCTTCTGAAGTCAACTTCTCTATCTGATGGTCATCTTTCAAGAGAATTTATATATATAGAAGAGAAGAAAATGATGATAACGCTGTTGGGAATCCAAGTATGAGTCTAATTCCCACATTTGATAAAAATGAGAAAGTAGAGCACTATATAAAGGTGAAAGACCCATTAACCCATTGTCTTAAGGTTTTGGGTAAAGAGTGGTGTCAATCCCTTATATGGTTGGGCTCATATCTCATTGGTGTTTGTATCTCCTCGGTGAACCCCCTCCTCGATAGACCTAACAGTGGTATCAGAGCCGATGGTTTGTCTTGGTGACCGACTCAAACGAGTATAGTGGTCCCTATACCGAAAGTCTTTCTTCCTGGCAAAGGGTATTCAGGTAAGCAAGTCTCATTAAGATAAACGACGGTTTGAAAGGGCTACTCGTGGTTGTGCTTGGTTGGGAATGCTTCCGCTGGAGGGGGAGTGTACCTATATGGAAGGGACTCACCCTTGAGGTGGAGATTGTTGGGAATCCAAGTGTGAGGTAAAACTTGTGTAATCCTTGAAAAGATTAGTGGAATCCCTTAAGAGTTCATAAGGAAGAACTAGACAAAACTCAAGTTGAGTGAACCAGTATAAAAATCTATGGTTTATTGCTTTTGCTATTCAAAACATTTTCCATTTACTTATCTCATAAAAACTAGCGTCTATTTATTAAGACATAATCGTTTATGTGCCTAAACGATTTCATGTTTTGAAGTTTGAACATAGAAAAACCTTAGGAAAACACTTAGGATTCTAGGAAACAGAAAAACAACTAAGTCAAGACACCTAGACGCAGTGCTAGACGATTAACAAGTCAAACATGTATAACAAAGTTGAAGCTAAATGTGTAAAGCTTATCATACCTAAAAGGTATTCAATTTAACTCCCAAAAAAACAAAACAATGTCAAGACCATGTCATTGACAAAACACACTAAAAGACTAAAACTTAAAACACCAAAGATAACACAAACAACGTTAAACGTTGTCTGTCTCAACATGCAAAATCACAAGATGCATTTACATTGTCTAAATGATACCATGAGCTAAAACATTACTTCGTCCAACGATGAAGTCTTTACTCAACGCTTGATATCTTTAGAAGAAAAGCTTAATTGTCAAACTTTGGTAGGAAGTCAAAAAGCACTTTGTTGTCTTGAGCAAGCATTGTCATTAAATGTTCAATGTTCAAAAACAACAAAAGTAATAAGAAAAGACATATTTGTTGCATGCACAATCTACTTTATTCTTTGCTAATGAGCTATCCTACTCGCATCCACGAGCTTTAAATAAAAATATCAGAAGTTGATGCTATAGACAAAAGAGATATTCACAGAATGTTCTTCACTTGAAACGGTGTCCAAAAGAACGTACAACCTACTTCAAGCAAAATACTGAAAACACATTCCTACTCTGACAAGTTGACTTTGTCCAATGGCTGTTGTACACAAAGAAAAATAAAGCGTAAGAATCAATGCCAAGAGCTTAGTCTAGCATACATTTATCCAAAAAGCCTTTAAATAAAAGAACTTTCGAAAGAAAAATCAAGAGGATAACATACAACGAAATATTCATCCTAAGAAGCACTCAAAAGAGAAGAAAAAGAAAGAGATCAAGAAAAAGAAAACATATGAGCAGAAAAAGAGAAGAAGAGAAAAGAAGAAAAAAAATTGCATTTAAAACGTGTTTGCTACCTGGCATTTGATCCACTTTGTGCGCCTGATGATTATGCTAGTAGATAGCACCGTGGGGGAGGCTTGGCTCATCCTAGAAAGTCATCTCTCCCACCCCTTTGTACACACTTTTGAGCTTTTGGTAATGGTATGCTATTGAGATAACTCCAACACTCATTCTTCTCAAAGTCATCAACTAAAGAAAGTCCCCTATCTCCTCTAGCCACTTTTCCTAGTTAGGAATCTGACTAGGCTTCATTCTCACACCATCTCACACCACCATTGATGTGATCATAGACTAGGAAAGGATGAAGAGATTAAAAGAGTGAAAAGAAGCACAAAAAGAAAGAACATAGAATTTATGGCTTGTATTTTGGACTTTAGTAACATAGGTTGTTATAGGCTTGTATTTTGCCTTTGTAGTTTCTTTCTCTTAGTTTGGTTGTAGAGAAACTTATATATCTTTTTTTTTAAAGTGCTAGCAACATGAGACTTCATATAGTTTAGACTTAAAAGAAAAAAAAATAAGTCTCTTCTCCTTTTAGTTGCTTGTAATACAAGTTATTTCAAATATAATTTTAGTTTTGATCTTTAGACTAGTTAGGTAGCTTATATACTCTTAGAAGGTTGTAGAATTAAGATATATGAGACTTAATAAGATTTTTGAAAGAATTAATATTATTTTTATGTTTAAAAAGAAAACCCATAGGCTTGACTCACTACTTTTGTGGACATTTTAGCTTCTTAAACTTTTTTAATGAAAAATTTTTTGGTCTTATGAACTTTTTTTTTTTTTCAATTCATGTTGGTCAAAACCAAAGGATGGACCATATATTCAGTAGAAAACATACTGGACAAACAAGATCCATACTAATTTTGGCAAGACAAACATATAGACTAGATTTAACAAATGAAAATAAAATAAATTCTTTTTCACAAAGAATTAGCATCAAATATAAGGCTCCATTTCAGTATTTCATTCCCTTGTTGTCCCATCACAGGAAGAGGCTGCAAAAAGCAACAAAATATCACTGACAAGCCCCTAACTCGATATTAAGTGCTTAAAACTGCATAAACAATCCATTTTAAACAGGTTGGCATCCAAAGTGGCTTGGGGAGAGCACGAGGCAGAGCAAGTAGATGCTCCTCTTTGCCTTTACCTAAGTGTACTTAATTATTAATAATTTAGCTAATCACTTACCTAAGTTTTGATTTCTTTAATGTAAAATTTTGTGTGCCCTCTTATTCTAATACCCCTCGGTTATGGAATCTTAGTCAAAGCTTGAAACTTACGTCCCCAGGCTTGGCTACTTTTTTTCATGCGCCCTATGTGATGTTGCAGTGGAGAAATGCAACTTTTTACCTTTTGATCCATTTCATTAGCAAAATGCTTTGTGGCTTATGCAAAGCCACTTTGTCTTATTTTATTTTCCTTTTGGGGCAAAGGATGCTGAACCATATTCAATTCTGATTGCCTTTCTTTCTTCTTATAGTATTTTCAGTTTTTTGGCAGTGGGAAAGAGAGAGAACATCATGTGTAAAGGATCTTAGGATTCAAAGCCTCAACCTATTCTCGTGCAAAAAACTTCCTTGTTACTCCCATTCTTGCTGTCTCCTCCTAAACTGTCAGAATCATGTCGCATATTTAGTCGGTTTACGAATCAATTTTGCAGCCTTTTCCAACTGATCTTAAAGTAATATCAACAAAAATCTCCAAGCACCCGCTTAAACCAGCAACCATCAACAACGTGTCTCAGTATAATTAAACTCAAGTTTCAAATTTCCAGATCTCTAATTTGAGTGTACTTCGAATTTTTAATGTAATTGATATTTACATCAGTTTGTCATTGTCATGGTATTATTTCTAGTCTTTAATCTCATGAAAGAAGTTATTGCAAAAGGATAATCATAGTAAAATTTAAATCTGAATGTTATGTTTAAATTATGATAATCTCTCACTAAGAGTGAGATTATTCAAATAATCAATAATGGGGTCGAATTTTAACATTCTGTATCTGGAAGAGAAAAACCTAACAATCAAATTGACAAGGGTTGGAATTGGATTATAGTAGTACACCCTCCTTTCCACTGGTCAAGGAAATAAAGTTTTCCTTGTTATGGAGTTAGGCTCATCAAATTCGGCTTCTTGTTTCTTGAGTTATCACCTAATATGTGCATAATTTCAGGACTTTGTAACATTGGATAGACATAATTTTATTACAGCCGCTTCTTGAGTCTACTTCTCGTTTCTCATACTAATGTTGGGTCTATTGATAAGAAGATTTATTAGAAAGATACAATACCAAAAAGATTTGGGCCTACCCATATTAGGAATTGACATAACTTTCTACCCAAAACCTTTGAATAATAGATTAACAAGTCTTTCACCTTTATATAGTGCTTCTCTACTTTTTTATTTCTATCCGATGTGAGACTTGGACTCTTGGATTCCCAACATCCTTAACCCTACTTATACATGCCAAATGAAAGCATTATGTAATGGTTATTTCTGTTATGAATTGTTATGTAGGATTCAACTAAACCAACCCCCTATCGACCAGTCATTTCCCTGATTATGTGGATCCAACCAAAGATAAACAGAAGAAAACAAAGGAAGAAGCATAATAAAAAATAAGAAGATAATGCTCATGTCCTCATGAACAAGAAGACAAATAATCTAGCATGCAGAAATTGAGGGGAGGTTGTAATACCTTATTTTTGTAATGGGAGACCCATTGTGCTGGTGGGTAGTGCCTGCCTACACATAGGAATATAGAGTGAGACATGGCAATGCAAGAAAGAGAAGCTTGGCTCAATTTCTTGTTTTGTTTTATCAATTTCCCCTTATTGGGGTATGGATTCCAAAGTGGTGAGGTGGGGTCCACCGGTGTCTGTCTGGTGGGTTTGGAGGCACTGCACACTCTTTCATGCCCCATCGCTGCCTCTTTTCTAGACCAAGCCGTGTTAGGACCACACCGTGACACCTCTTTAAGAACCCCTTCTAACACCATTTCTAAACCAACTCTCTCACACAACACAACTTACAACTTCATCAAACTTAACCTTATTACAACCTCAAGAGAAGGAAAATAACTGAAAGAAATGAAGATGGAAAGTTCTTCCATGGCAGGATCAAAGAGAAGGATATCATCAAACAGAGGACTCGGAGGAGCCCTCAGAGAGCAAAGGGCCAGGCTATACATTATAAGAAGATGTGTTGTCATGCTGCTTTGTTGGCATGACTAGTTTTTCAAGCATGCTTTTCTTTCCATGGAAATGGAAGAATGCTTCTTTCAATGTTTCATTTCTTTTCTTCTTTTTCTTTCTCCTTTTGATTCATCATGGTGGAGTGTAAATAGAATCGGCGAGATATCATGGGAGAGAGTATAACAAGTTTTGTACTATGGGTCGCTGGCCTTCATGGCTGGGCTATATGTGTATATCGGAATAGCATGGATTATAATGAAAGCTATGTCAACAAATAATGTGTCCTAAATCCATCTTACTCTATATATGTTCTTTTCATTGATTAATTAACTTGGAATAGCCATTAAATTCATGTCTTCTAAATTCCTTCAACGTTCAATAACTTCATCACCTTTTTCCCCTCCCTCTGTAGCATAACCATGAACTATAAGCATTCATGAAAGATATATGTTCATATGATCAAGTCAATCTGCATTTTAAGAATCTAGAAGAATACTACTATATATTGCCAATACACATGGTATTGATCACTCAAGAGTTAATTAAGTCGGATGGATAATTAGGAATCCAGTCCCCCTCAAATATCTTTCTAGACTGAAATCTTTTAGACTTTTTCTGATTTTAGTAAGAATTTCATGAAAAAAAAAGTTTTGATTTGCTATATTGTTATGGTTGCAACTTGCAAGGACCAGCATTAGTCTTTTAACATTGTTAGTTTTCTTAGATTACCTGGAAGTTTTCTGGATTAGCTTTTTTGGATATTCAATCAAAATAAATATATAGGAAAAATAATTGTGTTTGAATGATCACCCACAACTGCAGCATGTTGTACACTTAATTATATATATATATATATATATATATATGACATACTTGTCCCTAGTCCTAACCTAATTTCTTAATTGCTTAGGTATGAGTCTTTTAGTAGAAGTAAAGGTTTATATATTTAACCTTTGTTGCAAGAAGTAAAATGATCTCAGGTGATAAAATAAGAATACTGAGATAAAAATGTGCATAATTAAATGCGAAATATTGGCACAATTGGCACAATGATATGATCCATTAATCATTTGAAGTGGATAATTTGGTGATGAGTGTGAAAACTGCTAGGCATTCATTGACATTGCAGTTTATGGATTACACCTTCTTTTCTCCCTCTTTCCTTAAGTGTCATATCTATAAAGTGCTTGCAGCTTAAACCAAAATGAAATAATAGAATGGTTCTTTGTGGGGTCACTCTTTTAGTAACTGTTCTAATCATTCACCCTTAAATTATTCTAAAAATAAAACTATTCCCTGCAGTTTAATAAGATAAAAAATACTTTTATTTACTTCTAATGGAATTGACTAAAAAACTAGTTACTAGTTCAAAGATTTCTTATATACTTTTAAATTTAGTTATTCTTAGATTTCTCTAACTGCATAATATTTATCTTTTTACTACATCCATACATTTTCAATTCATTTTAATTTTTAATCATAAAACTTACAAGTATTAAAATGGATAAAATTGCACACTTTGACACTAGAAGTTGAAAAATGTTTTAGTTTACAAGTGTAAGAAATTAAAACATGAAGATAATGCAGATATAAGAACTAAATCCAACTTTTAGTATCAGAAACCTATTTAAAATAAAAATTAGAAAAAAAAATTAATTAAAGTAACACTAACTTTAATGCAAAGTATTTAAAATAGGATCAAAGGACAGTTATGAATTAAAAATATTCCTACACCAAACCCTTGTCATGATACATATCATGAATGAAAAAATCCATACAGTTGGTCAACCCATGTAAGGAGATTATATAAAGACATTTGGGAACAACCTAATAGGTTAACCAAATAAGCAATAATTAATAGTTAGATAGTGTTCTTAATTTTAAGAATCATTCTGTTATTTTCGATTTTATTACGTTAGACGTTAAAGAAGGGATGTTATAATTATTTTTGTACTAGTGTTAAAAATAAAAAAGTTTGATGATTAGATACAAGAAAACATGGAATGTGCTCAACCACACTAGGAAGGTATAGAATAAGAGATGTTGAGATATTGTTGTCATGCAATCTTGATAATAATACGATGTCTTCAACCTAACAACACATGTATCAATCCTTTATTTGAACAGTGAGAATGGTTCAACATCATTAAGAAATTTGGAAACAGCAGACACGACCAATATGGTTCACGGAAGAAAGAAACAAAATGCAATGCTTTTGTGGTCAAACATGTTGTTGTGGGCCTCTCTGAGTCACCTGGTTCCACCCCCACTTTCACGTGTGCATTGTTGTACACCATACTGCCTCCTCATGCGATAGGATCGTAACCACTAAAAAAATCTAATGATTTGAATAATGCATATAAGGTCAAGAATTGAGCTGTCTTCAATTTTTTTTAGGTGACATGAATATTTAGTGCAAACTATACATCAATTTATTGAAAATTAATGTTTGTCATGAATCACTTTCCATTAAGAATCTTTTTCAACTATAATTTGTTTACCTCTATTTAACTTTGAGTTTTAATAAAATAGAAATTTATTAATAATAACTAGATGCATTGATCCAAAATTATCTCAACTCTTTAATTATATATACATTTTTACTTACAAAATTTAATTGTTTAAGTATCTTTCTAATTTGTGAGGTTTCTGTTTTTGGTATTCTAGACTTAAAAGACCATTCTTGCAATAATTTATAAAAGTTTGTGTTTATTATCCATTGTTATCTTAAACAGGGATGGTAATGTGCAAAACTTCTTTACGGGTTTGGCTATCTCTATTCCAATTCCAAACCAAAAATTCATCATTTTCAATTTTATCTTATATTTAACCTATTGCCTCATCTTCATCTATAGAAATAATTTTAAAAAAAATATTATAACAAAGGAAATATGATATTATCTTTATGTTAAAGGAACACTTTAAATTAATAATTAAAAATGTTTCTTAAAAACTAAAAAATAAATAATTTTTTTATGAAGGAGTAAAAATAATCAAATGTCTAAATAGTGATTAGTGACAAAAAAAATCACTAGTGACTAATTTATAAACTAAAAATTATTGGTGACTAAAATAATTTTAAAATTGGTTATTATAGTGATTTGATCTCAAAATTGGTTACTAACGTTAGTTACTTGTAAAATCATGACATTTTAGAAATGATGGTGGTTTAAAAATAGTGATAATCAATTATTTTAATATTAAATAGTTTTAATATAAATACTTTCATTATAAATGAGTTTCATTATTTTAAATCCACGCAGTCTCTCTATAAACCACTTTTCTAGAGTTTTTTTAGCTTTTCTTTAAGGATTCTAGCTCTCTGTACGTTTGTTTGAAGATTAGAGACTGCTTGAGTGATCCTTGTGTAGAGATCTTTAACTCTAACCAATCAGTTTCTGAAAAAGTGTTAGTTGGTTTTTGTTTTTTTTTTCTTTGGTTTGATTTCTCTTCCTTTGCATGCACACCATTTGTGGTTGCATGTGTCATACGAGTTTCCTATGCGACTCTCCGGTGATCAGTGATTCTAATGGCGTACTCTGATCATGATTTTGTTGTTCGTAGATGTAGATAATGTCCTTTGATCAGTGGGAGCTGTTTGGGCTTTATAAAGTCGTTTGGTCATTTAATAGGTAAAATAACTTGTTAAACGCTCTTGCTCTAAAAAAGGAAAAATCACACAAAGCTTTTACATCAATCTAGACGATACCATGAGCTAAAACTGTTACTTCGTCCAACCATGAATTTTCTTCTCAATGATTGGTATCTTTAGAAGAAAAACTTAAAACACTACCTCAACGATAGAAAATGGAAAACACTTTGTTATTCTGAGCAATCATTAAATGACATTAAATGCTCAACGTTCAAAAACAACAAAAGTGACAAGAGAGATATGATAAATGTACTACACGCATCCACCTAAAACCTAAATGAAACATAAGTGGACGACATTCATGGAATGGTCTTGCCTTAGGAAATCATGACCCAAATACAGTACAACCTACTCCTAACAAATTCTTATTAAACACTGACCAAGAAAAAGTATCTTACAAACTAAAAGATATCAAACACACTCTTAATAAAACAATAGACTTTGAACAAACTCTAAACAAATACTAAATGTTCAACGATTAAAAACATCAAAGTAAACAGGAAATAAAACATACTTGTTGTATAGACATTCGTTCTATCTAGTTTAGGACAGTTACTACAAGCGTTCATCTGCCCTATCTTATGGGAATCATAAATGAACGTTGGAAAGAAAAAGATAAAAGAAGAATGATCTGTTAATCAAAAGTCGCGCCAAATGAGAAGTCAAATATGCTTTTGACAAAATTATTAAAAACTTGTCTGCTTTGACAAAAATACTCCATCCTATGAGAAACAATTACACCAATAACCAGAAGTGATCAAATCTCGAGACAAGCTTTGTCAAATAGTCATATTATCAAATCTCAAAACAAACATCCTCATAACAACTATATCTTCAAGGTGTATTAATAGAAGCTTAACAAAAGAAGAAGATGATTATGGAAAAGAAGAGAAGAATACGAAAAAATAACATCATCAAAATTGAGCGATGAAATCTCTTTGATCTATCAGAGTAAAATTCCTCTAACCAAGGATATAGAAAAGGAGAAAAGCTGAAGAAAAGAAATACTCTCCAGCTTCATCATAATTTTAACTTACTTCTGTAAGAAGAAAGAAGAGAGAGTAATAAAGTGAAATACTGAAAAGTTCTCTCAAGCTTCATTGTGAATATTAACTAGAACTATTTAATTATGTATTTAATTTTGAAGGACTAAATCACTTTTTAATAAGATTGATTATTAAGTCACTATGCTATTTAGTTGCATTATTTCAGCACAAAAAAGAATGGATACAGTATGTAATTATTTTTTATCCCAGACCTAATATTCTAAAACATACTCTCTTTTTTCTTGATGGAAAGTGTGGAAATTACAAAATGGAACTCTCACTCACATCTTCTTTAATGATCTTCTCTTCTGATTTTAAAAAAAAAAATGTTTTCTGAAAAATGTAAGTATTTGGCTAATATTCCTTTTCCAAAGTTACCCCAATTTAATGATCATAACATATTTTCCTCCTGTAACCTTAGGTCAAATTCTAAGAGAATTGAATGATTCTAGGATTGACCTATATCACTTTACCTGGTGTAATTTCCATCACGCTTGTCAAATACCAAGCAAAACTTTATTGAAAACTGTAGAGTAACAGGGAAGAGTAAGGTTAAGAACATAACTTAGGAGAAATATGTCATGATTCCTTTGACTACTCTACCATGTCTGGAATACTTTGTTGTGAATTTTGGATAAGGTACAATGGATA